GATATGTTCGACGAATACTTGAAGATGTCGGCTCGGAGCATCAGGTCCTGTGTTTATAAATTTTCAAAAGCTATTATTCAAATTTATCATAAAAGATATTTACGCAAGCCTACAGCGAGCGACATCCAGCAGATGCAGGCAAGGCATGCCGCTAAACGCGGCTTCGTCGGCATGCTTGGGAGTATTGATTGCACGCATTGGGAATGGAAAAATTGTCCCACTGCGTGGCACGGTCAATTTTCCTGGGGAGATCATCCCAAGCCTACCATCATGCTCGAAGCTGTTGCTTCGAATGACTTGTGGATTTGGCATGCTTTTTTCGGTGTCGCAGGCTCGAACAACGACATCAACATTCTTGATCAATTCCCTGTTTTTGACGATTGGGTTAATGAGACCGCACCGGACTCCTCTTTTGAGCTTAGAGGGACGCTTTACAAGCGTGGATATTATTTGGCCGATGGAATATATCCTGATTATTCCACGATTGTCAAATCCCTCTCCGAACCAATGGGTCTTAAACGTCAGACCTACAAAAAAGCTCAAGAGGCGGCAAGAAAAGATATTGAACGAGCCTTTAGGGTCTTGAAGGCTAAGTGGCACATTCTAGATCGTCCGTCGAAATGTTATTCTCAGACAAAAATGAGGAATATCATGTACGCATGTATTATTCTTCATAATATGATCATAGAGGATAACGGGTCTGCGATTTGTCAATACAACCCGGACGAGGAAGTGCCTATGTACGAAGAAATCACCGAGGAAAAGAAACGACGCAACCGCCAAGAAATTCGAAGCCGAGAGATTCACAATGCACTAACGGCGGATTTGATCGAGCATATCTTTAGTCGTTCGAATAATTAGTGATTTCTTTGTACTGTTGTTTTTTTGGTTGTAATATTTTTTTTTAATGAATGTAATTTTTTTTTTGAATGTAAGATTTTTTTTTATAATGAATTTAATTTTTTTTAATGCACTAGTATCATTGCGATTAATTAAAATAATAAATTAATTTAAATTTATTAATTTAAATTTAGAAGATGTATATTTAAAAATGTAAAAAATGAAGGTTTGAAGCCCCGGGGCTTCAAAACCATTTCCAGTGAATTTTTGGTGTAAGTTAAAGCTGACGTGGCAGAGAGAGAGTTTGAAGCCCCGGTTTGAAGCCCCGGGGCTTCATATGTATTTCTAGTGCTCTAATCCAAAATCTGTCATATTATCATTGTGTCCGTTGAATGTGTCCCAAGAAGGTCTGTCATTGAATCCAACTGATGAACTATATTTTAGCCAAGGAATAAAGTAGGGGTGAGCATGGTACGGTATGGGACGGGATTATGCCCGTACTGATACCGTACCATATCTTTCGGTTCGGTATGGAATTTCATATTTTACCGATCCCAAAATATTGGTACGGTATGGTTCGGGAAAAAATAATGTTGGTACGGGATTTTTTCGGGATTTTTTTAAACAAGCAAGGTATAATACACAATTGGTAAAGGAAAGCCTACTTTTCCCAAAAAGAAACTGCCAATTACAGTAGCAAAAAAATGGGTGGAAATCATAAATATGGCATAGCCATAATTCTGCCCATTCATGACAAATAAGCAGTAGCCAATAAAAATTTATAAAGAAAAAATGGAGCAGAGGCTATCTAAAATGGAGCCAGTACAAAATTATAAAGAAAAAATGTAGCCAGTACAAACTTTAAATTTCCAAAAAAACAGATCTTCATATTTCTAAATTAAAAGAATTTCAGATTTTCACAACAAATTCATAACAATTAGCAAAAATTTTAAATAAAAATTTCAATTTTTCACATGACAAATTCATATAACAAATTTTCAAATTCACAACAAAAATTCATAACAAATTCATACCATAAATTTATAAAGATTAAAGATTTTTCATATTTACACATAACAAAATATAAAATTCTTAAAGAAATTCTGAAATTAGTATTTTTTTTACCTCCGTACCTGGACTCTGGCACCTGGAGGCTGGAGAATTTCCGGCGAGGTGGCGTCTGGCGGGCAGCGGCGTCTCTCTCTCGGTGACTGGCGGGCAGCAGCAGTTGAGCGTGCAGGCGGGCGACGGCGTCTCTCTCTCTCCGCAACTTCCTTCTGGCCTCTCTCTCGGCGACTTCCGTTCGTGCTACTGCTTGGGTTTGAGAGTTTGGCACTTTTCCACAGTTCCGCTTTCAATCTGGAACGGAAATAGCAAATAGGAGAGGGCTACTGGGCTAGGGAGTTTTGGGCTTTGGCTGGACTGGACTTCAATATATATATACATATATTTAAAAAAATTAGGCCATTCCCATTCCCAAATGGCCAAATTTGGCTGGACCAGTGGACTGGACTTTAATATATATATATATATACACACACACACATATATATATACACACACACACACATATATATGTATATATATATATAGTATATATTTGCTAGTTGCCACAGTAGTTCGGTACGGGAAATTCGGTTCAGGAAAGAGCCCATTCCCATTCCCAAATACCAGCCCGAAAAATCGGTTTGGTACGGTTCGGGATTTTTTCGAGATTTTTCGGTTCGGTAAAATTTGGTACGGGTAATCCGGGAATTTTCGGTAACGGTATAGTACATGCTCACCCCTATTGAACTTGAACACATTTACGGTTAATGCTCCATATATCAAATAAAGGAGTATACTCCACTTTGAGCATCCACAGTGGCAACATCTCTTATTGGATGCCCAAGTGTGGGCTCCACAATAAAGATGACATTCTAGCATTTCTCTCAACATTCCATTCTTTCAATGGTAGCATCTCATTTGGATGCCTAAATATCTATTCCATTAATATAATGGGTCCACTAAAATATACTTCCTCCGTTCTAAAATTAATTTATCAGTTTGATTTTTGCAGTCAAAGTTTTTAAACTTTGACCGTATATTACGAAAAAAATAAATTGAGTTTTCATATAAATTTATTAGCAATAGATTCTTTTTGAAATATAGTTTTGAAATATATAATTTTTATCCAATATATTTATATAAAAATTGAGATATTGATGGTCAAAGTATCGCATTGGAGACCGTGAAAAAGCAAATGAGAAGTTAATTTCAGAACGGAGGGATATTTAAATTTTATTTTTTGTTAATTATAAGTTTTTAGTTTTATAATAAATTACGAAGTATTAATTATACGAAACTTGAAAATAAAACCTTACAATGTTATATTGAAAAAAACTACTCTTTATATTTTAAAACTAGCTTGTTGTCACCTCAATTGCAACTAGTTGGGAGTGGTGGTGGTGTTCTGGTTGATAGAAATAATTCCATAAATCTTTATTAAAAAAATGTTTATTAAAAAAAATAGTAACTCAATGAAGAAGTTTTCCTAAAAACCCATTGCGATCAAGAATACAAAACAACTAAGAAAATCACATAAAAAAGCAGGCTGGATAGGTTCTCCCCTTACATGAATAACTATTTGGATGCAAATCCATTTTTTAAGAAAAAAAATCCTAATTTGAAACTATTTGTAAAGAAAATATTTGCTTAAAATATTTATTGGTATTTCAAAAAAATATTTGTTGAAAAAGTATTAAAAAAGAGAGCCATTTAAGAAAATTGTCATAAAAAAGATTTGAGTATATATATGTGACACATGGCACGTAATCGTTGGACCACAAAACTAAAGAAATAAATGCATTAAATCCTTTCCCCTCAAGCATTGGTGCTATGTGAAGCATCCCCCTTTCTTTTTCTTTCTTGGACATCTCTAATGAGCAGCCACCTACAATAATAGCATTCATCAACATCTCACTCTCTCTCCTCCTAGCATCTATTGTGGGCATCCCATTGGAGATGCTCTTAGAACCTCAACATATATACGACCAATGCTGCATATTTTCATACATGTGGATGCATGGGGAGATAGTTTACCAAAATGTAAAATATGTACTCCGTATAAGGCCCTGTTCCGTTTAACTTATTTTTTCTTATTTTTTCTTATTCTTATTAAAATCAGATCAGATCAGATAAGACCAGATGAGATCGAATCAGATCAGATCAGATCAGATCCAATCAGACCAGATCAGATCAGATCCCATAAAGAATTATTATTATTATTATTATTATTCTTGTTGTTGTTCTTATTATCATTATTATTATTGTTATTGTTGTTGTTGTTGTTGTTGTTGTTGTTATTTTTCTTAAAAATGAAAAAGAATAAACTTTATAAACAAGTTAAATAGAAAACTGAGAAATTAATCCTTAATTATTAGACGTCGAAAAAATTATTTTTAAAATACATAGACAATGTCAATCTAATTCTACTTTTAAAATACATTTTTATTGCTACCTGTAATTTGAGTTTCTAAAGTTTCGATCTTTTATAAGGATGAGATATTTTAATAAAAATACTATCTCTTCTCTGTATTGATTTTATATAAATTAAATATTTATTCTAATGTATGTATGAACTAATTATTAAAATATTAAATCAATATTCTTATTTCACAAACAATAATCATAAAATAAAAATATTATTACATTAAAATAAAAACGATTATTCTAATATATAAATTAACTAATTTTATTTTATTAAAAAATAATTATAAAATAAAAAATATTGATTATATTATCATACGAATTATCATTACAATTTTTAAACATTATTATAAACTCAAATCGAATTATTGATTTGAATTTTAAATCAAATCATAATTAATCAGATCAGATCCAATCATATCAGATCAGACCAGACCAGATCAGATCAGATCAGAACTACAAAAAATCAGATCAGATCAGAAAAAATATGTTGAACGGAACAGAGCCTAAGTCAAGAGCATTTTAGTGGAGAGAGAAATATTGAGAAAAGTTAGTGTCATAGGAAAAATAATTTTGTAAAAATTTAAATACAAATTTATGAAAGTATATGATTACTATAAATTTAAAAAAGTCAAAAAAAACCGAAAGAGAAAAGAAAACAAAAAAAAATCCTCCAAAAGAGAAAGTCATAGTTAAATAGAACATAACAAAGAAATACCCAAGGCAAAATGCTACATAGTACATAACATTTCTTTGGGATTAAAAAAACGGTGTCGTTCCACAGCCACTCCAGTTGAGTGGCTCCCCAAGCCACTTTTAATCTATACCATCCATCTCCACTAATTTTAAATCAAAGGCTCACCTTTCTTCATCATTTAACCTTCAAATTTACCGAGTAACTTTGTTCAGTTCAGATCCGTCTCTCTCTGCGTCGCCGACCTTACCACAGTACGAATAATTGTTTTGCTTTCTTTCAGTCCGTCTCTCTCTATAATTTGAAGTCCCCTTTGTTCACTTCATTGTTTTGCTTTAATTTCAACTAGTTCTCTAACTCCTGCGTTGCACGGACAGTATTTTGAAACAGTGAAAGAAAATAAAAAATAAATTTAGTTTATATAAAGACAACACAACAAAATTGTATTCAATATAAACATTAAAAGTATTATATACTAATATTAAGGAATGTATAGTGGAGACAAAAACATGAAATTAAAGGTTTTGAAAGATTTCTTTGAACACTATTTCTAAATCAAGTTAAAATAAATGTTGAACAAAAATAGCGTACAATAACATAATCAATTAAATTGTCAAGTCAAACACAAAGCTTGAGGATGAGATGTGATTTGAAAATAACTCTAGAAAAACGGTGTTTTTTTAATGAAAACAGGTCCAAAGCATTCGACATTATCAAAGCCTCATCACACGCTTTTCAGTATAAAGTCATATCATGCATTTACTATTTCACATAAACTGTTACACTTTCTCATAAGTATTTATTTAAATTATTACACTTTTTCATAAACTTTTAATCTTTGACATAAATTCTTATACTTTCCCTTAAAGTATTTATTTAAGTTATACTTTTCCATAAACTTTAACCCTTTCCCATAAACTTTTTCATTTTCCCATAAAGTATTTATTTAAGTTATTTTTTTTCATAAACTTTAACTCTTTCCCATAAACTTTTACATTTTCTCATAAAGTATTTATTTAAGTTACAATTTTCCATAAACTTTAATTATTTCCCAAAAATTTTTAAACTTTCCGATAAAATAATGATGTCTTTACATTGAAATACGTGAAAAGAGTGGCCAAGCCATCAAATTTTGTTTCCTAATAGGCGTGTCTCTTAAGTGTATTAAATGCATTTACTATTTCTCATAAACTGTTACACTTTCCCATAAGTATTTATTTAAATTATTACACTTTCCTATAAAACTTTTAATCTTTTCCACAAACTTTTATACTTTTCTATAAAGTATTTATTTAAGTTACACTTTTTTCATAAACTTCAACTTTTTCCCACAAACTTTTACATTTTCTCATAAAGTATTTATTTAAGTTACATTTTTCCATAAACTTTAACTCTTTCCCATAATCTTTTACACTTTCTCATAAAGTATTTATTTAAGTTACACTTTTCCATAAACTCTACTCTTTTTTAAAAATTTTTATACTTTTCCATAAAGTAATAATGTCTTAACATTGGAATACGTGAAAAGAGTGGTGAGAAAGTAATGATGTCTTTAGATTGGAATAAATTAAAAGAGTGGCCAAGTCGTCAAATTTCGTTTCCCAATAGGTGTGCCTCTTAAGTGCATTAAATGCATTGTACTTTTAGTTTGTGGCTCAATAAATCTTTCTTTTAGCTTTTATTACTCCACGGGTTCCAAAGAATTAAAAGCCCAACTGTAACACCTATTTTACGAATTGGACCCATTTTTCTTCTTTACACATTCAGATACCCAACCCCTTACCCATAACTTTATGTGGGAAAAAGCACTGTTCAATCGGGTCTATGAGAATCTTTTCCACCTGACTTTGTTTTCTTTATCATAATAAAAAAAACCACAATTACAATCAAGTGAATTTGAGTTGCATTAATCTAACAATGACAATATTTTGATATCAAATTTTGGAGAGTAACATTAGAACAATAAGATTCACCCAAGTTTCATTTATTCCAATACTATGAATATTGAAATTATACTAAATTAAGGAACCCAAACAAAATATCCACTCTCGTTGTTAGTGCTGCTTTCTTTCTTGGAGCAGCGCAAGTGTCTTAAATTAAAAACAAAAATGAAGTCAATTCACAACACAACCACCGAGAGAGAGTTTAGAGCTCTCGGCTAAGACACAAATGGTAAATTAACGAATGCACTATCTCTGCAGTTGCTCTTGGAAGGACGGGACACATGGGGGAGATACATCATGCAGGCAATTGTGATTGTGTTTTGATGGATAGCCTTCTCACTCCCGTTGTCTGATACATATTAATGAATAAATAGATACTAAATGAGTAATTTCACCACTGATTAACATTACAGAGAAATAGTAAAACGAATCAAATCAGTGAAATCAAGAGAGGAATAGAGAGACTCAAAATTTGTAGCCTTGGCCAAGATGAAAGAACCAATACCTAAAACTTGTAACTCGCAGCTAGATAGTAAGCCAAATGCAAGGTGTAGAATACACCCAGGACTCCGACTCAACCCTATGACCCAAAAAGGCATTAGCAGATGCAAAGCATCCACTATGAAAAAGAAATATCAATGACAATTTTTACTCTACATTAACATCACATATGGATTAATGATTAAATATACAGTTTTTTTTTTTTGAAGAGTGATCGATGTGCCTAAAATGGATAATCAAAATGGGCTTCACCATTAGCCTTTTACCTCTAAGAACTAAAAAAAATAAGAAAAATTAAAACACAATAGAAGCTGCAATTCAAGTGCTAGTGGAGTACCTTCAATGGCTATTCTAATAAGTAGTGTTTTGGAAATTAGTGCTAAAGGTTTACCTGAGATGTAACTTGGGATTGACATTGTGTTAGATTTCATTTCATGCTTTCATGTCATTGTGAACCTGAATGGTAGATTTTCCCTTTTACTTGTAAGAACAAAAAAAAATAAAAAACACTTAAGAATAAAGTGGTAGTAGAACAAAAAACATGAACATATGAAATGCTATGAAGACACTGAATGAATTATTAGAAGCTTACCGAGCACATAACCTAAAAGAGAAAGGGTGGAGCAGTGTTGGATGGAGCATTGGAGCAGCAGTTTTGATCTATCACTCCTCATTAAGCACTGTAATTGCAAATTTTGGTTGAAGCCTCTTCATGATAGAAGCTTCATTCTATAAAAATTTAACCATCAACAAACAATTCTCTCTCTAACCATGGGAAAGAGGGGACGACCACCGAAAACCACCGGGAAATTCGACGGCGATCCTCCAAAGTCGCCGGATTTGCAATCACAGATACCGGATAAGGAAGAACCTTCATCCTCTAATACATTTCCTCCTGATCTAGAAGAAAAGGAAGATCCACAAATTGAAAATCTGGAAGACGAGGAACCAAAATCCAAGGAGAAGAAGAGCTATGCAGAAGTCGCGGGAATTCAGGAAGATCTCAATTTCTCCCTAAAATACATCCCGATTGAAGAAATCGAAGGTCAAAGCATTGTCCGTCTAACCAAGGAGGATGTCATAGAACCAGGTACTTATTGGGAATCTGCTTTGGTGTGTTGTATCCTGGGAGCAAATCCTCCTCTGGAAGTAGTGAAAGGATTTGTATCTCGTATCTGGTACACATATGGAATAGAGGATGTGTCACATTTAAAAGATGGGCAGTTCATTGTTAGATTTTGTAAGGAAGAAGACAGGGATGAAGTCCTTAAACGAAAATATTATTATATGGATAATAAACCAGTCTACGTGCAAAAATGGTATCCTGGCTGTAAGGTAAACATCCTGGAGAGGAAGGATATCCCAATTTGGATCCAACTACCTGACCTTGAGATGAAATATTGGAGTTTATCTGGGTTGAGCAAAATTGGAAGTGCGATTGGACAACCAATAAAGAGGGATAAGGCAACAGTAGCTAGATCTAAATGGGCTTATGCTCGGATTCAAGTAGAAGTTCAGGTAAATCAGACATTTCCCGAACAAATTAATTTTGTTAATGAGGAAGTAAGAATCATCACCCAATCTATTCAATATGAATGGGCTCCCTATTTATGCTCTCATTGCAACAGAATTGGACACCTTGTTGAAAATTGCAGAAGAAGGAATACTCCTAAGGGAGAGGTACCAACAAAGAAACTGTTTGTGTGGAGGCCTAAAGCAACCCAGAAAGAGTCTAAACCCTGTTTGGAACCTGGAAATAATCAGAGTAAAGCTGAGGAGATTGAAACTAGCAAGGCTAAAGAGAACGAGGATAATCCAGATCCAGACCCTCAACCTCTGGAAGCAGAATTTGTAGAGGTAAATAAAAAGAAAGCTGCAAAGAGAGTATCGTTGGAACCAGATGGAGTGGATTTATATGTTAGTGGTATCCATAAAGATCTATGTTTAGCCCCATATGAGGGCCATCGTCCTTTTCTGTTATGATAGGTTGCTGGAATATCAGGGGGCTAAATAGTCAAAATAAACAGCATGAAGTCAAGAATATAATAAGTAAATATGATATTACTATATTTGGTATATTGGAGACAAAGATCAGGGATGAAAGATTCAGAGATATTGAAAACAATATGTTCAGTGGCTGGGGTTCTTTTATTAACAATAATGTCCATCCTCTTGGCAGAATTTGGGTTGTATGGAACAGAAATAAGGTAAATATTACCATCCTTGACAGTACTGAGCAAACTGTACATTGTCATGGAAGATTTCTGGGTGATGAAAAGGAATTCTACTTGACATTTGTATATGCTCACAATGATCAACAGAAAAGAAGAGTCTTATGGGATACACTTCAAAGACTGATAGTGCCCTGCCCTTGGTGTGTCCTGGGGGATTTCAATTCCGTACTATACTTGGATGAAAGAGTAGGAGGTTTACCTGTCAGCGGGGAGGAAACTAAACAATTCAAGGAATGCCTTAACATGTGTGGTCTGGATGATCTACCCTATGAAGGAGCTAAATTCACTTGGTCAAACAATCAATGTATTGATAAGAGAATTTATTCAAAACTGGATAGAGTCTTGGGTAATATTGAATGGATTTCCGGATTTGAATATAAGGTCATATTCAAAGAGAAGGGTATCTCTGACCATTCTCCTATGATCCTAAAAAGCATAGACCAAAGGAAAAGAAACCATATGTTTAAATTTTGTGACATGTGGACTTTGGATCCTTGTTTTCCCAGGCTGGTGAGTGAGATCTGGAATCAGAACCACAAAGGACAGCTCATGAATCAAGTCTTCCAAAAGCTTAAACAACTAAAACCTGGACTGAGACAATTGAATAGAAGAAATTTCCTACACTTGGACACAGAGATTGATGAAATCAGAACAAAACTTCATATTGTTCAAGAGGAAATGAAAAAATACAGGGATAGGGCAGATATCCTTCATATGGAAAGGGAACTGACCAAGGAACTAAACCAGAAACTAAAAGCTAGTCACCTAATGAAGAACCAGCAAGCCAAGGCAGATTGGATTACTTATGGAGACCAAGATTCTAAATTGTTCTATGCATGGATAAAGAAAAGAAGAATTCAGAATCACCTAACATCTATTGCAAATCTAGAAGGGGCAGTTGTAGAAGGGAAAATGGAGGTGGCTAGAGTACTTGTGGACTACTACCAAAAACAGTTGGGTATTACTCTGGGGACTGAAGATATTAATGGGGACATAGTTAATATGGGGGCATGTCTTTCCATTAATCAGCAACTACTACTAATCTCCCCAGTTACCCCTGAAGAGATCAAGAAGAGTTTGTTTGGCATCCCGAATAGTAAAAGCCCGGGGCCTGATGGATACAATAGTGGTTTTTTTAAGAATCAATGGAAACAAGTGGGAGGACTTGTGACTTCTGCTATACAAGAGTTCTTTAATAAGGGTGATACTATAAAGCAGATAAATGCCACTAACCTTGTAGTTATCCCCAAAAATGATGACCCAAAGAGCCCCGCAGATCTTAGACCTATAGCATGCTGCAATGTCCTATATAAGATTATTGCTAAGGTCATTTGTGGGAGAATGAAACAGATTCTGCCTAATATTGTCAGCCTAAATCAGGGTGCATTCATTGAAGGGAGGGAGCTTGTCCATAATGTCCTATTATGCCAAGAGCTTGCTAGAGGATATAATAGAAAGAATATATCCCCAAGATGCCTGTTGAAGCTAGATATACAAAAAGCCTACGACAATGTCAGCTGGAGAGCTATTGAACAGTTGCTTAACTTATTAAAGTTCCCCTCAAAATTTGTCAATTGGATTAGATTCTGTGTAACTACCACAACCTACTCTATTCAACTCGAAGGTGAGAGTTATGGGTTCTTTAAAGGAGGCAAGGGATTGAGACAAGGTGATCCTATCTCACCCCTTCTATTTGTGCTTATCATGGAATATCTTACTAGATCCTTTCTCTTTTATGCTAGTAAGAAAAGGTTTGGGTATCACCCACTATGTAAATCTCTGAATCTTATCAGCATCAGTTTTGCGGATGATCTAATTGTTGCTTGCAAAGCTGAGGAACAATCTATTAACTGCATAATGATGGCTCTGAAACATTTCAAAGATACCACAGGATTGTCAATCAGTCCAACAAAATCTGAGATTATCTTTGGTGGAGTCACAAAACAGTTAGAAGAAAAAATTCTGCAGGCAACCAAAATGAGAAAAGGGGTCCTGCCACTCAGATATCTAGGAGGGCCTGTTACCTCTGCCAGAATTAGCGAGAAGGATTGTGAGAGACTCTTGGAGAAAATGACCAGAAAGATTAATTCTTGGATGACTAAGCATGTATCCTATGCTGGTCAGGCTAAACTAATAAATTCTGTCTTGTATGGAGTCATTAACTTCTGGAGTAGAATCTTCCTACTCCCAGGCAAAGTCATGAAGAAAATTCAAGCCCTCTGCAGAAACTTTCTTTGGGGATCAAATCAAGAACATAAAAAAACTCCCTTGGTAGCCTGGGAAGATGTCTGTATGCCAAAGAAATACGGGGGTCTCGGGTTCAAGAACCTAATCTACTGGAACAAGGCATGTGTTATGAAGTTGGTTTGGGATATTGCACTGAAGAAGGACATTTTATGGATCAAATGGATCCATACTAAATATATTAAGGATAGTACCATATGGGATTATCAGGGTAAAAAGGATGATTGTTTCTACTGGAAGAAATTGATACAAACCAGAGACAACTTTGCTCAGATGGACAGGGGAATAATGTATACTCCAGATGTGGGATATCAATGGTTACTGGGGCAGCAACATTCTGTCAGGTGGGCTGAATTGGTCTGGAACAAACTTACCATTCCAAAGCACAAAATTATTCTCTGGCTCATTTGCAAGAACAGAATCCAAACCAAGGTAAGGCTGAGCAAATTCCTCTCGATTGATACTCTATGTCTTCTCTGCCAGAATGGTGATGAGGACAGCCAACATCTATTCTGCACTTGTCCTTAAGCTAAGGAGATATACATGAAGGTCTATAGCTAGTGCTCATATAAGTTTGAGGATGACAATTTAGAAGGGATGATTACAAAGATCCAAAATATCACTCCCATGAAGAAAAGAAAGAAGATCACTGCCATATTTGCAGCATGCTCATACTGCATATGGAGATGTAGGAATCAGAAGCTGCACAAGAATATTGTTATCTCTACAGAGGAAGCATTTCACTGGATAAAGGGTCATGTTAGCATCTTCCTGCGCTCAAGACAGACAGACGTAGGCTAAGGTGGATGCTTGGGTGTACTGTATTTCGTTTTATTGAACTCTGATTTTGTTGTAGTAGGCTTGGAATGGATTACCTTTATACTCGTATCTGTTTTTGTATATTGGTAGATGAATAAAGTCTCTGCTTTCGGTTCAAAAAAAAATATTAATATTAGGCTTAAAAACAAAGATACTGAAGAAGCTTAATTACCTGTCCAGAAGTCGTTCCTAGCTGCTCCCCATTAATGGTCGTCCTCTGTCCACGGTCGTGACGCGCGAGTTCCAGAATCCGTGGTGTCTCTAATCTTGTTCAATTTTGGGACCCAAAAATCTGGAAAATATGACATTTTAGACCTAAAATTTGAAAATCTTAATCTACCTACAAAAGAAATTGTAAGAAAATGAAGAAAAGGCAAGGATGAACATTTGTGTTGAAAATGAATCTCTAGACCTTCGTTCCTAACCCTGCAACTGAAGTGTGGATTAGATGGTAGAGGAAGCCTACCCGATTTGTTGTTCTTTTAGATAGAAAATCAAACTGATATTTTAATTGAAGCTGTGTACATACCAGGAGCGGCGAAACCCCAGCCATGGTTTCCGGCGAGCGGTGAGAAGAGATATTGCGAAGGAGGAGCGAAGACAAAGTCCCAGGGATGAAAGCAGAGATATTGCGAAGGAGGAGCGAAGACAAAGTCTCAGGGATGAAAGCACAGATCGAGTATTTTACTCCATTTCTCGGCTACGCTCTCTATTAATACACCCGGTTACTGTTCTTTTTTACTGTAGATATTTGGGCGGGAATATGTACTGTTCATTTTTCCCTTTTACCTATAGATAGATTGCGCCAACCCTAGGAGAAATTTAATTGTTTTAATTTCGATTCCTTTAAATTTGATAAATCTTTTTGATATTTTTTTTGATAAATCTTTTTGACTTTTTTGTTTGGGCCATCGTATTCCCTTAGTCATGTGAAAATGGAGCAACTTTTATTAAAATGGAGTAAAAACTGATTTTTTTTTTTACTTTTTTTGTTAACCCTTCGTTTCTTGATATATTAATTTAGTTCACTTTTAAAACTGAATTCCTTAATCACAACTGAATTCCTTAATCACATGTGCAATCATAAAATCTTAAAATGGAGCAGAATATGAGTCTACAGAGTACACTTTATGGTGACAAGGTTGTATTGTGTACAACACCGACAAAAGTTATCAATGAAAAATATGTTGGAATTGATCCTGTAGTTGGAATGCGTTTTGACACAGTTAAAGAATTTGAAGAATTCTACCAAGCGTACAATTCTGCGAATGGATTTCTGTTAGAGTATATAACAATCATTCCTGGGCCACAACCAAAAGCTCAAGCTTGTAGTTGAGTTGGTTCATTAACATGGTATCAGAGCCTTGATTACCAAGAGGTTACAGGTTCGAAACTCACCGCCACCCAGTTTAAAAAAATTAAGGTTTCACGTGCAAGGCTCAAAGAGGTCACGTCTGCACGTGAGGGGGCGTGTTAGAGTATATAACAACCATTCCAGGGCCACAACCACAAGCTTGAGCTTTTGGTTGAGTTGGTTCCGTAACATGGTATCAGAGCCTCGTTGACTAAGTGGTCACGAGTTCAAAACTCTGTGCCACCCAGTTTAAAAAAAATTAAGGTTTCACGTGCAATGCTCAAAGAGGTCACGCCTGCATGTGAGAGGGCGCGTTAGAGTATATAACAATCATTCATGGGCCACAACCACAAGCTTGAGCTTTTGGTTGAGTTGGTTCCTTGACATGGTATCAAAGCCTCGTTGACTAAAAGGTCACAGGTTCGAAACTCAGCGCCACCCAATTTAAAAAAAATCAAGGTTTCATGTGCAAGGCTCGAAAAACACTACGCTTGCACGTGAGGGGGCGTGTTAGAATATAAATAACTGTTCCTGGGCCACAATCACGAGCTTAAGCTTTTGGTTGAGTTGGTTCTTTGACAATTTCATATTAGAAAACGCACGACCAGAGAGAATGAGTACCATAGGTGGGTGTTCAATTTTCGTTTCACTGTTTTTTTCCTGTTTTTTTAATGGTTTTTTCTGTTCTTTTCCTATGCTTCCTTTGCTTCTGCCCAAATCCAGGACGGTATGCTTCTCTCCTCCTCTTTCGTTTTGTTTGTTTGGGATCTGCGTAAATTTCTGTTTTATAAAGCAGCATAGTTGTTTTTATTTATCAGATGAATTGAGATTCTTTCACCATTAATCTGCCTGCTTTGGAAGAGATTATGAAATAACCGAAGTGCTTGCTGCTCTTGATGTTCTTGGATGATGAATACCCAACTGGTGTTTGTTCTAATATGTCAAACCTCCACTAATCCACTTCTCAAATCAATGATAAGCACTTGTATAAAACTCTCCACTAATCCACTTCTCAAATCACATATAAATTAAACGCCCATAAATTATTACTAAAAAAACTGTCATGAATAACACCAAAAAATTTAAACAAACAAACACCAAACAACTGTCATACGAAGATTAAATTATCCAACATAACAGAGAAAAATCTATTGCTTCCTAGATTCTGCCTTTCTTTCATATTTATAAGCTAAAAGTTCTGTTGTCATTTTAACCCGGTAAGCTTCCATGTCACATGACTGCACTTCTTGTATGTCTAAATCAATCATTAGAAACTCCGCGAATTTCACCACAAACATACCACAATTACCCCTGCATATGTATACATATTTCAAAATCAGTAAACATTAGGTACTATTTACATATTCAACAAAGGTAAGATCACTCACACTAAATGTAATTAAATTTTTATAGTTTTTTTCCAAGTAAACAGTAAATGTAAAATTGTTTTAGGGAAGGGAGTGTTTGTTATCAAATCAATTATCTATTCATCATTAAACCCACTGCCATCAATTCACAAAAAACACGTTGCCACGACAATTTAAACCCACCGCCAACATTCACCAAAAAACCCACTGCCTCAGGTAAAAAAACTCAAAAAAACACACAGCCAAGGAACAAAAAACCAAAAAAAATAATTATGTTTCAGTGGAGAAAAAAAATTCAAAAAACACACTGCCGAGCAACAAAAAACCCAAAAAAATTTACGTCCAACATTCACACAAAAAAACCTAAACGGTTTTAAAGTACCCAAAAAAACCATTACTTACAAAAAAACCACAAAAAATTCATTGCAGTGGTTCTTCACGGTCTAGGCAATGATGTTCTTCTCTAGCATTGTTCAAGGCATCCCTATTGAATTCATTGGCAGTGGTTCTTCAATATTTTTTTTGCCAAACTATTACACAGTACATAACACAAACCCTAAACGGTGCGCCATGACTATTGTGAAACCAAAAACAAGTCAAATCTAAAGCCAAAGCTACCAATTCACTGCCAAATAAAACAAATGGATTGCCAATAAAATAACTACTATGCCAAAGTACTACCAACCTTACAACTATGCCAGAGTAACGAATTCACTGCCAAAACGAAACATACCTGCTTCTTCTCCAATCTTTTGCTTAGAGGAATCTCGTCCAACGCATCATCACTTGCCATTGAAACCCTAGCACTGCGTCTCCCTTCTTGAAACTGTTGCGTTCAAGGCCGTGTGTTTTCCAGTAATATTGCGTGAACCACTGCCGCGTTCAAGGTCTTGGAGCTCTGGCCGTGAATTCTCGGTAAATATTGCATGAAGGTAGGCGGCCAATTACTACTTTTTAACCTAATTGAGTATAATAAAAATTTGTTTAATTAAGGGCAATATAGGGAATTCATCTCAAAAACTTATAGCACTGCTATTTTGCGTATTATAAGAGCATGAACAATGGCAAGTAAAGAAATAGAATGCCACACGATGACGGGGCATATTTCAACCAATTAAAACAGATCCAGTCATAGAGTGGCAAATGAGTGGAATGACAAGTTCTACAATGGCAAGGCATTACTTTTTTCTTTTTTTTATTTTTTGTTGTTGTATATTAACTAATAAAAATTATTTTTATCATCTCTTTTAATATACAAATACTCGGTATTTCTACTACGTTTAAAGAAAAAGTTTTTTATATATAAAAATAGAAATTGAAAGTAAAAATAAAAATATTTCATATTAAATAATCAAATTAACAAATTTAAAAATCATAATACAAATTAAACAAAATAAATTAGAAAACATGAAAAGGAGATTGAGTAATTACCCCATGTGGTCTTCCTCCCAGTAGCTGCTCCACTAGCCATTCCATATTTCCATGCCTCGGCCAATACTCGCAGAAAGAGGCAAAAAGCAAGTTACACGCGAGGAGAAAGAGATCTGGTGCTGATGTGGCAGTGCATGGAGGTCATTCTCCTCGCCACTGCAAATGCTCTAAGCCTATTAAAGTGCTATATTCGTATTTCTCCCTTTTTTGCTGTTGTTTTGCAGTTGAAGATGGCTGATTTTTTACTGTTTTTTCTGTTTTATATCCTGTTTTTTTTGCAATTTCTTGGAGCTATTGGTGGTATTAATACAATTTGTTGTTTATTAAATTGTAGGAATTTATAATATGCGTTGTTTGAACTTGTAGAATAGTAATTGACTTCTAAATTTTGATTAGTTCTATTTATATAATATGACATGTTACTTGCTACTTCCTCCTAGAGTATTTATTCAATTTTGATTTTTTACATTTAAAATTAAAAAACTTTTCTATAAATTAAATAAAAAGAATGTTTGAAATTGATGCAAAAATAATTTATTAGATTTACCTTATAAAATATTAGCAAAATATTATTTTACATAATTAGAATACTATATAATTTTATGTCAAAGGTCAATTATGATTTGACGGACGACACTTTATTACTCCCTCCGTCCATGTATGATCTTCCCATTACGCGTTACGAGGCTTGACCGACTTTATTTTCAATTCGATTTAATTGATTATAAGAGTAAAATTTTAAAATAAAATTTATATAGTAATAAACTACATGAAAAATTCTACAAAACTAGAAGTGACAAGACTATATTATTTTATGAAATTACTAGTAAAATTGAGTAAACAAAGTGAGTAAAGTTTGACCCTGTGAATAGTGACTGGGAAGATCTATGGTGGACAGAGAGAGTATTATTTATATTGAGATAAATACAATAGACTACTAAAGTACAAAACAGGAACAAGGGTTTTTAAGTTATTTTATTGTTTTAGCTACCTTACATCCTTTAATATAAAATTTGAGAGTTTGATGTGTAGAATGATGACATGTGGCAGCATAAGGGTTTTATTTTAATGACACGTCAGTTTGCACGCGTCTCATTCTACGATCGAAGACTTTCCCAGTACACTCTTCTTCGCATATCCAGGCGTAAATCTCCAAGATCTTCACCCCTGATTCTTCTCCAGCAAAAAATTTTCGCTTGATTTCATCGCCGAAGGATAGAAATTCATCACAGACTCCGTCATCGAAGGAAGTTCTCCGAATTCGCTTGATTTCAGACTAGGTAAGTTTCTAAAATTCATATGCCAATCTAATTCGATTAAAAAGTTGGTGTATCCGTGTTTTTTTGATGTATTCCCTTTTTTTGAGAAATCCCCACAAATATTGAAGCACACCATGATATATCTTTTCCCATTTGTCATGTCGTCATTTGCTAGGAGAAGGAAGGCCTATGAGTGTTCTATTCCGATCTTTATGATGCTAGGGTTCCTTGGATCTTCTTCTCCAATAGGGTGAAATTCTATGAATTTTGCGGTAGGTCAAGGTACTATGGCAAAATGTACATTGATAATAATGTGAAAACAATGCAATTAGATTTTTTTTTTAAAAAGCAGTTTTGAAATATCATATAGGAAAAATATTTATTTATATAGAACTATAAATGATAATGGTCAAAGTCCATAACTTCCGGAACTTTCAGTTCGACCTTGTTTTATTATCCTGTCTCCCTCATGTTACTGTCATTCCATATCGTGGACTGTGACTATGTATAACGCCCCTGAGACCAATACTAGCCTGGTTCCACAGTTTAATGGTTGCTGTGAGAGCATATTTTTTGGATGGATTTCTTCATGAGTGGCAGGAAATAAATTTCTTCTCCACCATCTCTGCCATCAGGACATTTTATCTCCATATAAACCTATCATTTAAAAAATTGTAGATCGAACGATTAGAAACAGCAGGCACTATTAGGGCCTGCCTTGGGAAGCTTTGGCATTGCTGACTTCATAAAACAAATATTGTTTACCACATCTATGATTGACATTCTCATTCTGCGAAAGTCTTTGATGTTTCCATTGGAATCATAATATGAGGTTATACCTGTGAAACAAACATGTTTATAACCAAAACACTGCCATCACATAGAAAGATCATGTGAAAAACCTGTTAACTCAAACTGCAGTACTGCACTATAAGTCTATAACATGAACAAGTAAATTAAAAGATTATATTTTAACAATAGAGCAATAGAATCAGCTGGAGGCCTGGAGCAAACCTACAAGTCGCATCACATGATTCACATCCCTAAACCTATTTTGTACATGTAAAAAAAACTACAACTCACACAAATCATATGGAACACATTCCTGATCAACTGTGCAAAGCCCTAGGCACAGATAAATGAAGAGTGGAATAATGAATAGGAGTTGTACACTTGTACTAGCTTAGGATAGCAACTTGTCACAAAATACTATCTTCCCATGGTTTGCTAAAAAACTATGGACTAGGTCTCCATCCAAGTAGCTTGTGAAAATTGCAGATCAAATGTGCATAACTCAGCAAGAAATGGCTATAGTGAATGGCTAATGAAGGCTGAAAAGAAGCTATTGAAACATAGCCACATAGACAAAATCAAGATAAGTATCTTACGACAAGCAGCAGCTAAATGGTTTAGCAATCCACATAATTCCCCATCAGGTGTATGAACAGGACATAAAAAACCCCATGATCTGTATATAATAGAAACCACAACAAAAATTATACTCCCTCCGTCCACATTTAAAGTTCCCGCTTTGCCTCGGTGCGCAAATTTAGGTGGAATGAAAATTGTGTTGACTTTCCCTTTATGCCCCTCATCTTTTCTACCCCTGCACACCCCACTCACCCCACTGGAGCCGTCTACCCCTGTACACCACTGACGGCGACACTTCTGCACCGCCGCCTCCGCCGCTTCTGCACCGCCGTCGATGATGCTTTCGCATCCCCGCCGTCGAAAGCTCCGGGCATCGCAGCGCCCAGCCGTCGCAGCCCCTAGCATCCCTAGACGGAATTGAGAGGAAGAAAAGAAAGAAAAAGAAGGAAAGAGGAGGAAGAGTGGGGAGGGTGGCTGACGAGGTGGGAAGGAAGAAAAAAGGAAAAAGAAAAAGAAATGTAATGGACGAGGGTAGCTTTGTCTTTTAACCTTGTAAAACTTACTAAAAAAGGAAATGGGAACATTATTTGTGGACGGACCGAAAAGAAAAGTGGGAACTTTAATTTTGGATGGAGGGAGAATATTAGAAAAAGATACCAATAAATGGCACAAAGATTGAATATACCATGCTAGGGAAAAAGAAAAAAAATCATCTTTGAGGCTTCAATATAACTACAAACTCGGGCAACAATTCCGCACACTGGTAGTACGAAGACCAGCAAGGGCAGAACCTCGATGAACAGCTCTAAAATGTGAAATGAATCGCAGAAAATTTATCCTTTCTGCCTGAACAGTCATTCCAGCTCTCTAACAACCAGATTTTGATTTTCAATAGGTTAGCAAATCAAGACAAAACATGTCCAGGAAAATATCATTGCAAAGTGTTAAACGTTGAGTGTTCAAGATAAGGAAAATTCGAGAATGCGTACTCGTATTGATCTCACTAAAGAGGGATAGAGAGAGGAATTAACAAAACAACAATTACACCACTCGGGAACCCTAGATGACCATATTAATAAATCCGCTGGGGATGCGACAAATGGTATCTATATATTTCTTTATGATTTAATATATGACTATGCATGGCATATATTATATCATACAAATGAAAAATAAATAATATAATCGAGCGGATTGACATCTTATTTTTTAATTCTTAAAAAAATAGCATTTGCTTTGCACAAAGTGCAATCATCAATTTGTATATCAAGGACACCGAAGAACAATGATGCAACAACTTCGGCACAATTACAAATGCATACAAGACAGAGATTCAATGATCTCTCTTCTATATCACGTATTGTTGATTTCACCAAAGGTAGTAATTCTACAATCGTATCATTCATTATATTTCTAACATAGTATATTATATTTAGCTATATTTTTAACCATTTACTAAAATAAAAAATTTAACAGAGTTAAAAACAAAATGTGTTCGACTCCGTGCGTTGCACGGGTTAAATAATAGTTTTTAAAAACGTAATAAATATGCTTAGCAGTATAATCAAAGCAATAATCGGGACCTTAGTTAGCAATCACTCATGGTTGAAGAATACGAAGTATATTAAAGTGTTTGGAGAAAAATTCAAAATTACCTTAAAAAAAAAGAAGGGTTTTTCCCTCATGCCTTTACAATTGAGAGGTATTCACGCTCTTCCATTCACTAATTGACTTTTGTATTTTTGATGCAACATAATACTACAAACTTAATTAATACGTTTCTTTTAATTTCTAAAAATTACAAAGTTTATCCCATCTCAACCTATGCTTTTGTTTCCCTACGTTCCACAACACTTCAATCAATTTGACTACTTTATTAGGAGTATATATTAATATTATTAATATTATTATTATTATTATTACTACTACTACTACTATTACTATTATTATTATTATTACTATTACTATTATTATTTTTATTATTATTATTACTAATCGATTCGGGTATTATCGGTTTCAGATTTAATCGGTTTCGGGTTTAATCGGTTAGGATATTATCGGTTTCGGATCAAATTGGTTTCGGATTTAAATCGGGTATGAATTATTTAGTTCGGTTTCGGTTCGATTCGGATCATTTCGGGTTTTCGATTATAGATCGGATCTTCATTTTTCAGGTCATTTCGGTTTCGGTTTCGGATAATCAGTTCCGGTTCTGTTTTGCCAGGTCTAATAATAACCCGCAATAATTACTATTATTATTAGGCCAGGGTACTTTTGATTGTGTTACGGTCTCACTTATAGAGGGCAAAAAATGACCCGATCCGAAAATATAGAGTTTTGAACAAAAGTTTTGCTAATTGAATCCGAAGTTGATCGAATTTGAAATGACCCTCTAAAAATGGATCAAACCCAAGCCGACCTGATAAACCTGCTAATGTAAAAAAAATTTCAAAAGTATATATTTTGATATAAAATATAATGTTATAAAGATAAGATTATAATAATTATATCTCTTTGTTTACTAGTTTTTTGTATATAAATTTATATTTTCATACAAAATTTTAATTATATCACATTATTATCTTAGCTTGCACTTTTTCAAAATTTCTGCATATACTCCCTCCGTCCCACTTTAGATTACAATATTCTCTTTTAGTTGAAATTAAGGAAGAGTCAAATCAAATTTTTTTTCCCCAGATTACCCCCCAAATCCCCCCAAATAGTGTGAATAGTGGCTGGCAGAAAAGAAAAGGGGAGGGTAAAAGAGTCAACTCACACTATAAAGTTATTGACTTTGTAATCCTTTTTGAGACAAAAATGTGAAGAAATATTGTAATCTATTTCGAGACGGAGGGAGTATATTTTTTATTCGTAATATTTATAGGGAGTCATACAATTTACTTAAATTTTTAAAAAATTAAATGAAACTGGTAAGTTGTTGAGTCCACAAGACCAAGTGACCAACAATTCAACATCAATTACCCTCTTGCCCATACCCTAGCCTGCTAAAGCTAGTGCATGCATGTGATCGATTTGCCCCATTCCCTTAATTATTAATTTGTCTCCCATCTACCTCAGTATATATATACATATTCCCCTGATCGAGTTAAAGCCATCAAACCCCCACAATTCAATTTAATTCACCTAGCTACTAGCCTTTGCTAGCTCTCCTCCATAATCACGCTGCTAGCTAGCACAGTATGGCGGCAACAGAAAACACCACACCTCTCCCTCTCCTTAAAATAATTCTCTCTGTTGTGTTGTTGTTGCTCCTCCAACACACAATCAATGTCTCTATTAGGAAGTATAATTAAATTAGGATACTTCTTTCCTTTCCTATTAGGATTATTCTTTCCTTTCCTACTTGTACTTTGATTACTCTTGTATTCTCTATATATAGGGTCATATCTCTCAATATTCAATAAGACAAGTTGTTATCAAATTGTATCATGGTATCGGAGCTAAGGCTCTCAAAAACCTAGCCTCTCTCTTTTTTTTTCCGACCGCCGCCCACCATGGCAGCCCCGTCGGATCCTTTGGCGTCCTTACCCTCCGGAGTAAAACTTTTACTTCGGAGTCTCCACAACTTAATCCCAGAAAAACTCACCGAAACAAATTATCCGGCATGGTCTCTCAATGTCCAGACAGCTCTTTCAGCTAATCTCCTCCTTGGATGGATTGATGGTCATGAAGCAGCCCCGGCGCCAACTATCTCTAAAAACGATAAAACCGTCCCTAATCCAGAGTATACCTCCTGGACCATCGTTGACACACAGATCCGCGCCTGCCTCCTAGCGGTCATCAGCCCCTCCGTTCACAAACATGCTCGCGGCTTCACCACATCCGCTGCCCTCTGGGATGCTTTGGCCGCACGGTACAACTCCGTGTCCACCGCTCATGTTTATCAGCTTCGGGACAAACTCCACACTCTTCGTAAAGGTACCAAAACTATGACACAATACCTTGATGATGTGGCAACTATTCTCTCGAATCTCGATGCCTTGAAAGAAGAGATCCCTGAACGTGATGTGGTGAATGCTGTTATTCGTGGTCTTCCCACCGAATACTCATCCTTTAAGCAA